AGGATGATAAAGGGACTGGAGCACCTCCCCTATGAGGAAAGGCTGAGAGAGTTGGGCTTGTTCAGCCTGAAGAAGAGAAGACTGAGAGGGGACCTCATCAACACATACAAATATCTTAAGGGCGGAAGTCACAAGGATGGAAGCAGTCTGTTTGCAGTGGTGTCCAGCGCCAGGACAAGGGGCAATGGGTGCAAACTGAAGCAGAAGAGGTTTCAGGTGAATATGGGGAAAAACTTCTTTACTCTAAGGGTGGCAGAGCACTGGAACAGTCTGCCCAGGGAGGTTGTGGAGTCTCCTTCTCTGGAGATATTCAAAGCCTGCCTGGATGAAGTCCTGTGTAGAATGCTCTAGGAGAGCCTGCTTTAGCAGGGGGTTGGACTGGATGATCTCCTGAGGTCCCTTCCAACCCTTGCCATTCTGTGAACAACAAAACAGGCAGTGGTGCAAACGGGAGCAGTGCAGGACCAGCCAGGGGAGTCCCTCCAGGGTGCGGGCTGGCTTACATGCCCCACCATGGCACAGCCCCACAGTTCTCGCTCTCCCTCAGGCACATCCACAGACCCCAGCGGCACCTTCACCTTCTAAGGAAACAGCTTCTAGGGAAATCTTTTGCTGAGCAAACCTTCAGCATATCTGCGCATAGCTGACTGCTTCTAATTGCACAACCAACCAGCGCTGCCTAAGGGTTGGCATCTAGGAGTTGTAATAAACAGATGCCAGTATCAAAGTCTTGTCTCCAAAATAAGTTTGGATAAGCGTGCGTAATAGGGGAGACTTCCCTAGCTTAGAGATGAAGCAGAAAACTTGCTTAGGATTTTCTTACCTTCACAACCAACACAAAGCTAATTTCAAGTTAAGCGTGAGAGAAGACAGAAGTGATCAAAAGGTGGAATCAAAGGGAAAAAGTCATTAAGTTATAGCTGAGCAGAAAAAGGGGAGGAATCATAAGATCTGTTTTTGAATTAAGGCTGCTAAAAACTGATCAGAATTAGATTTGAGAAAGGACAAAGAGGAAAAAAAGGACCTTCCAGACCTACCTCACGAACAAAGCATGTTAGAAATTATCAAAATCTGTATACGAATTACACCGTGCACAGGCAGGACACAGGAGAGAGCTTAATTAAATAAGTTTATTGTCTAACATTTACAGTTGTTACACTGCCA